ACTTCACCCAGCATAGAACCCACAAGACCAAATCCATCATGCACTCCTCCAATTCTGATTCCAATCCTCCCAAAACCTCACTCACTGAATAACAATACCAACAAGGCTGCCCACCAACTACCACCATAAAGCACCAAACACATAAAGCTTTAACATTTTCCAATTCAAATGCAAAACCCGCAAAATAAATTATACCCTTTTGTATTTTAACTCGGTTTCGAAGGAGAATGGGAAGAAAGATGAAGAAAGAGCAACAGTTTGAGCGCCACAGAGCTTGTATTCTGCAAGATCTGATAACACCGACAAAAGGGGTGAGAGGACTCACAGAGAGAGATGTAAAGAAAAAATCTAGGGGGGCAGAGAGCGAGAACTACGGTGGGCTCACGATGGAGAATCTGAGAGAGGAGCGGTGCAGCCTTGGACGGAGGAGGTTGCTGCTGCGGTCAGGGGAGGAGGGGTTGCGGGGTAGGTGGGGGTGGGGTGGGATGGGGGGTTGGTTGCAGGGAGGGGGGTCGGGGAAGAAGATAGGTTGTGGGTTTGGAGAAATTTTTAGGTGTTCCCGTCACCTCACATCACCATGGACACTTGGTGTATCCATCCAATCAGGGGATGTCACGTTTCCCATTAAAGAATCTTTCTGATTTATTTTTTAAGAAAATCAATTAAACAAACACTTTAATGGGAAACGTGACACCCCTGATTGGATGGGTACACTAAGTGTGATGGTGATGTGGGGTGACGGGAACGTGTAAAAATTTGTCGTGGGTTTGTTGTTTTTTTTCGTTCTTTGTTTTTTGTTTTTGTTTTTAAATAACTTTTCTTTAATTAAATATTTTTAAATGAATAAAAAAAAATTGTCACGTGACACAAATTTAACAGCCACATGGTACAACTGTGACAGCCACGTCAGCTCTTAACGGATCAATTGATGAAAAATGTAACAATTGTACTATATTGAAATAAAATAATAGGTAAGGTATAAAAATGAAATGTTTTAAAAATATTGTATTCAATTATAATACATCCCAAACCTGAAATGATAAAATGTAATTTACCCTAAACTTTATGCTCCCTTTGGGTATCTAAAGCTTTCTTTGCATCAGTCTGCAACTGTTAGCCTCTAAGTAATATCTATCACGCATCTCTATATCAAGGTAAGAAAACCCACCTTTTAAAAGGAGGATTTGAGCAAAGAAATCAAAGACACTGAGAGCGGGAAGGGGATAAATTTGAGCTGAATATAAAGAGTGTTTATTACAACTTAGCTCACAAATGACTTACATCTTTGCTTCAATCCTTTCTAACAAACACAATCCATACAACTAAGCTTTCAACCAACTAAAACTACCAAATGAATCACATACTGTCACATGTCTTTATGGTTATTACTCCCCCCTCAAACTAAGCTAGGGATCCCCTAGCCAAGTTTGCAGCATCGTTGCTGAAATTCCCAGTCCAACATATTTGCAATGATTGAGAGAAATGGGACTGATCAAAGTTTTTAATCTTTTCTGATTGCTCAAGTCTTGAGATGTTTTTAGAGATTTTAGAATTTATGGAGAAACTATGGGATCTTTATTTATCCGTGTCAATAATTAAATAACTACCCTCGTCAATTAATAATTTCACTGGATTGAGTTATTTGAACGTAGACAGTTGCTAGGAACTTAAGGGGGTGTTTGTTTGACCAGATTAGAGGGGACTTGACTAGACTAGACTGTAGTCCCTTGTTTTGTCTGGACAAGGATTAGGTTTAATGGGACTAAAAGGAGCTTGCCCCGACTGAACGTTTCGCTAAACGTTCTTAAGGAGACCCCTCGATTTCAAGCGGACTGCTAGTCCAGTTCTCTCCCTCGCCGCTGATCCCTCGTCGTACTTCTCCTTTGCCCTCTCTCTTCTGATTCGCACCTTCGCCCACTCCCTTGGGCCTTCACTATCCCACCCAAAAGCCTAAACCCATACCTCAAACAAAAACTGAAAATCAATCCACTGATTCCCTTCCTTTCTTCTTCGTTCAATTCACTATCTTTCTCAACAAAATCGTTATAGTTGCAACCACCAGACCACCACCAGACAACCATCACCAGAAGCTCGTCGTCGATCTCCGCGTTCTTGCGCGACCCAGACGCAAGTCAGGACCGAAAGAGTACCAAATGTCCAAGTACCAGTTGGGGTTTTCATTGGTGGTGGGGAAGAAGCTGAGAAACTTGTGAAATTTAGTAGAAAGTTGTGAAATTTGGTATTTGAATTTTGTGATATGTGAGAAACTTGTAAAATTTAGGCCTTATGTTTTGTGATTCATGAGAAGCAGAGGTGGGGTTTGACGGGAAAAGAGGTAGAGGGAGAAGGAATAGAGGTTTGACGGGATGGAGAGGTGGGGTGAAAAATGGTTACAGAGATTGTAGAAGTAAGAAGAAGAATATTCTAAAAAAAAGGAAAAAGATAAAGTAATAGTAAAATATTAATATATAATAAAATATTAATTATATATATATATATTAATTTAATATAAAATAATATAATATTGCAATTCTGCTTCTTAGTCCGACGCTGCACCAAACACTTCACTAAATCAGTCCAGCTTAGTCTAGTCTAAGCCAGTCTAACTTAGTCCCTGAAGCTAGTCCAATCCGAGATAGTCCAGTATAACAAACGCACTCTAAGAGTCTTCCAAGCTTCATTCGTACAAAGTCTTTCAAAATCCTTGATCTTTCTGGTTGCTCAAGTCTTGAAATGTTTCTAGAGATTTTAGAAGTTATGGAGGATCTAATCCTAATTCGCATTTTGCAATAGTTTTTATCAGTGGAGCCTAAAAATGTTTAATAAAATTCTCTTGTACCGCTGGATTAAAAAAAAGATCCAACCCCCTCCCCCCCCCCCATGCCTCATTGAAATTCCTAAGAATGATATTAGAGCATCACTTAATAGTTAATACAATGATCTAATAGATCATTTACCGTTGATCTTGAATAACTGTTTTTAATTATCCTTTCACATTTAGGTCTTTTTTCTATCACTTTTGTTTATTGTGTGGTTGTTGGCATGCTAATTTTCAAATGATTACACATTTCAATATAGAATAATGCATTATTGATGGTTGAATAGTCATTGGTATAATCTATTGGAAATCCTATTTTCCTCTCTCATTGCACCTTCCCAGCCAGCGGTATGTGGATCCTCAAGTCCATATGCGTACCCTTGCCATATATATATATCTTCTCTAAACACAACCACCGCCATTATTTTATTTTCAATGCTTATTTATATCATATTGTTTCATAAGTAAATGTTCCGATGCAACACATGACATTATTACATGGACCCAAAATTTTTTATATCCTTCCATCCAACTGATATTTGACGGAAAATTAAACTTTTGGTATTTCAATATCTTCTTTTCACAACCATTGCCATATATAGATACATATACATATACATACATATATATACATACATACATATACATACATATATATATACATACATACATATACATACATACATATACATACATACATATACGTTGCATAACACGTGTGTAGTAATGACTTGCATGCAGATTTCAAATTTATTTTCTGAAGAAACAAATGATGAACTCCACTAATGATGAAAAATTGAAAAACAGTACCTCGAATACACTATGAATAATAACGACGATCATTTCAACGAAATAATACAAAATATAAATTAAATAACATGAGGGTCTATATTTTTGTTTCAAAGAAAAACAAGAAGATCTGCAAAACAACAACGAACTCCATTAACGACGAAAATCTGTAATCAACCTAAAAAAGTTAGGGGTAAAATCGACAAATCATAATTTATTATAGGTGGGCCATTTTTAGTTGGACTACTTTAATATGAGTCTTGTACTAATCATTAAACAAAACTTATAACATTGTTTTTTTTTATTAAAACTAAAACTTTTCAAGTAATTTTTCATTAGTTTTTCTTTATTTTATTTTTAGTGCTTATTTATATTATATTGTATCATAAACAAATGTTCCGATGCACACTAACACAACCACGGCCATTTTTTTTAGGGAACTTTAACGAAAAACTCCTGGTACTGTTCACTTTAACGAAAAACCACATTTTTACACTAAAAAGTCAATCCTGGTACTATTCACTTTACCCTTTATTTTGTCCTTATCGTTAAAACTCAAAGTTTTCAAGCCTTTTTCATTAGTTTTTTTTTTTTTTTTATATACATATATCTTCTTTATACATACTTTATGCTGTGTAGCTCATATTGAAGTTACCATTTACAGGGAGGATATTGATATCATAGAAAAGAACCACCAGGACTAATCAGGCATCAAAATACTTAGGAGAAGTCAACGCCAGGGGAATATTCTATTAGAATAAACGGAATATTTCACAACCATTTCCCGTTTATAATACATGAAAACTTTTCTACTCAACGAAACGAATCTAATCATGGTAGTTAGAGGCCTTACCTTGGCCGGATTTGACGAGAACGTCGTTGGGAAAATCCTTCCCGCGTCGGAGCACTTTCAATTCAACGTCTCAGTTTGATTTTTCTTTTTGGAAGTTGGGGACGATGGTATGTTTATAATGATGAGAAGGGGTGATGGTGAGGTTTGACACATTGGGTTGGACGGAATAACTGTTTTTAATTATCCTTTCACATTTAGGTTTTTTTTCTATCACTTTTGTTTATTGTGTGATTGTTGGCATGCTAATTTTCAAATGATTATACATTTCAATATAGAATAATGCATTATTGATAGTTGAATAATCATTGGTATAATCTATTGGAAATCCTATTTTCCTCTCTCTCATTGCACCTTCCCAGCCAGCGGCATGTGGTTCATATGCGTACCCTTATTATATTATTAACTTTTGTTTTTGTGGATTGAAGGAGCTTCATTGACTTGACTTTCGGTATTTCAATATCTTCTTTTCACAACCACTGCCATAAATAAGCTTTGAAAATAAAATAATGGTTGTGTTTGTGTATATATATCTTCTCTAAACACAACCACCGCCATTATTTTATTTTCAAGCTTATTTATATCATATTGTATCATAAGCAAATGTTCCGATGCAACTAGGGATAGGCAATGGTTATGCGGGCGGGTAACTACGGTTATTTTACCCATAACCGTTTATGTTCATACCCGCATAATCGTTTACCCGTTGGGTAATTACATAAATGGTTATACACATAACCATAACCGTTTATAAACGGTTATCCATACCCATAACCGTGTACCCATTTAACCATTTAACCATAATCATAACCATTTACCTGTTTACCTATTTTTTCGCCCGTTTATTCTTTTTTTACCCATTTACCTTTTTTTTCGTCTGTCTACATTATTTTTTTTAACAATTTGAAAATTACAAAAGAAAAATTTGTCATAATTTTTATTTTCTGATAATTAAACACCGTTATAAGTACATTTTAGCATACATTTACTCGTGCTCGTAAGAAGCTGATCAAGAATCCAAGAAAGAAGTACAAGGTATTTTGATCAAATAGTCGAACACACAATGTTGCAGGCTATTAAATGATTGCTCTACTAACTCATCTCTTTCTCTGTGCGTGTGCAGTTGAAGCACCAGAAGGCAGTGAAGAGTAGAAGAGGACAGGTAAGAGAGGTGAGGAAGCCCTTAGGTCCGTATGGTGGAGAGGCCACCGGAATCAATGCAGGAATCAGTCAGAGCACCAGATTCAAGAACTAAATGTTGCTCATGATTTCGTCATTGTGTCCCAATTTTGGTAAAGTGAGAATTTCTTTTGATAAAGTGACATAATTTTGAGTAACTTAAATGATGTCGCGAAATGTACTTGTATACAATATGCCTGCATTATATGAGAAGTTTGTATGAATTGAATGGAATTGAATGTCGTCGTTGGGGTAAAATCAAATTTCATATCCGATTTAATTTTTTTTAAATTTAACATATATTAAATTAAATGGGTAAATGGATACCCGTTATAACCATGAATATTACCCATAACCGATGGATACCCGTTATAACCGCGGATAATACCCATAACCGGCCATTTAAATTTCATGGATAAACGGTTATACCCATATCCGTTTATTTGTCTAAACGGTTACCCATAATCATAATCATCAACTTTAAATGGGCGGGTAACCGTGGTTACCCATACCCATGGGTATTTTGCCCATCCCTAGATGCAACACATGACATTATTACATGGACCCAAATTTTTTTATATCCTTCCATCCAACTGATATTTGACGGAAAATTAAACTTTTGGTATTTCAATATCCTCTTTTCACAACCATTGCCATATATATACATACATACATACATATACATACATACATATACGTTGCATAACACGTGTGTAGTAATGACTTGCATGCAGATTTCAAATTTATTTTATGAAGAAACAAACGATGAACTCCACTAATGATGAAAAATTGAAAAACAGTACCTTGAATACACTATGAATAATAACGACGATCATTTCAACGAAATAATACAAAATATAAATTAAATAACATGAGGGTCTATATTTTTGTTTCAAAGAAAAACAAGAAGATCTGCAAAACAACAACGAACTCCATTAACGACGAAAATCTGGAATCAACCTAAAAAAGTTAGGGGTAAAATCGACAAATCATAATTTATTATAGGTGGGCCATTTTTAGTTGGACTACTTTAATATGAGTTTTGTACTAATCATTAAACAAAACTTATAACATGGTTTTTTTTATTAAAACTAAAACTTTTCAAGTAATTTTTCATTAGTTTTTCTTTATTTTATTTTTAGTGCCTATTTATATTATATTGTATCATAAACAAATGTTCCGATGCACGCTAACACAACCACGGCCATTTTTTTTAGGGAACTTTAACGAAAAGCTCCCGGTACTGTTCACTTTAACAAAAAACCACATTTTTACACTAAAAAGTTAATCCTGGTACTGTTCACTTTACCCTTTATTTTGTCTTTATCGTTAAAACTCAAAGTTTTCAAGCCCTTTTTCATTAGTTTTTTTTTATTTTATACATATATCTTCTTTATACATACTTTATGCTGTGTAGCTCATATTGAAGTTACCATTTACAGGGAGGATATTGATATCATAGAAAAGAACCACCAGGACTAATCAGGCATCAAAATACTTAGGGGAAGTCAACGCCAGGGGAATATTCTATTAGAATAAACGGAATATTTCACAACCATTTCCCGTTTATAATACATGAAAACTTTTCTACTCAACGAAACGAATCTAATCATGGTAGTTAGAGGCCTTACCTTGGCCGGATTTGACGAGAACGTTGTTGGGAAAATCCTTCCCGCGTCGGAGCACTTTCAATTCAACGTCTCAGTTTGATTTTTCTTTTTGGAAGTTGGGGACGATGGTATGTTTATAATGATGAGAAGGGGTGATGGTGAGGTTTGACACATTGGGTTGGACGGAAAACGCGGCTTCGCCGTCCTTCCTTGTCTGGGTGTGCCTCCGGGAAGAAGAGGGAAGAAGAGCGTTGAGAGTTCTCTCTCCTGGTAGAGAGAACGCAGTAGGATAAAAAATAAAAAATAAAAAGCCCCCCCAACAACCCCGAACCCCCCGGTAAACTAAACACCCAATAAATTATCCAGGAATCAAATGGTTTCTTCACATTTTGTTTGGTCAAAACTAAAGTATGCATATTCCTTTTACACCGAACTTTCATGGAAGAAGACGTGAAACACGCATAAAGAATAATTTTCTTTTGACCTTTTTGCGCAATGGTAAATTTATAAACGATTGAGCTAATTTGCATCGACTCATTGACTTCGTATCCATCAGACCATTTCTGGTGATCCAGTTTGTAGGTCAATTGAGTATATATTTCTGTTCTTACACTACTCTTAGCCTTAGCTGCTAGATCATCGCTGACCAGGTACGACCGATTAATGGCTGCTTCTTCTTCTTCTTCTGGCCTTCATCGGAAATACGGTGTGTTCCTCAATTTCGGAGAGGACACCTTCGGCAGCTTCGTCAGCCATCTTTACAAAGCTCTGCGTCAGAAACGAATTGATACCTTCATTCATATCGAAAAGGTCAGAAAAGGTGACCGCCTTTCCGAGCCCCTGACAGCGATTCGAGAGTCAAGGCTCTTGCTTGTAGTTTTCTCTCAAAACTATGCTTCTTCCACTCGGTGCTTGAAAGAACTCGTGGAAATCCTGAAATGCAATGGTACCAATGAACAGATTATGGTCCCCATTTTCTACCAAGTTGATCCATTTGATGTTCGTAACCTCAAGGGAAGTGTCGAGGGGGCTTTTGCTCGGACCGAAATGGATGAGAGCTGGAGATCCGCTCTTGAAACGGCCGCCCAGTTTTCCGGCTGGGATTCGCGAAAGTTTGAGTAAGGTTTCTTTAATGTTTAGGCGTCATTAGATAAATATTTTGTTTTAAATTCTTAGTTTTCATGTTTCAGATTTCTTTTTTAACCAACAGATGAAAACTTGCTTTTCATTGTAATTTTATGCAAATTGGTTGTAAAGACTCATTAGATCCCTATATAAAAGATCCAATGTTGACTTTTGAGATTATTATATACCATGAAATAAAAAAATGAAAAACTTATTTGATCTCTACTTTCAAAAAAATTAAAAAATAAAATCAAACGCTAAAATTTGAAAACTAAAAATCTAAAATTTAAAAAATTAAAAACGAAATAGATATCAAAACGACCCAATAATTATTATTTGGTGTTAGTTATTATACTGCTTTTTAACTTTGACAGGGATGATGCGGATCTTATTAAGAAAATTGTAGAAGATGTTTTCGGGAAATTGAAACCCATCGCACCAACACCAAGCGAATACGATGTGTTCATCAATTTCAGAGGAGCAGACACTCGCAAGGGCTTCGTCAGCCATCTTTACAAGGCTCTGTGTCAGAAATCAATCAGCACCTACATTGATAACCAAGCGCTCAGAAAAGGCGACCCCCTTTCCAATCTCCTGACAGCGGCTCGAACGTCAAAGATTTCGATTATAGTTTTATCACAATCCTATGCTTATTCCCCTTGGTGCTTGAAAGAACTCGTGGCAATATGGGAATCCGACCGTATCAAAAACCGTATTCTGATCCCCATTTTCTACCTAGTCAGTCCAAATGATATTCTTACTCTCCAGACAGGTTCGGAGGAAGCTTTTGCTCAGCACGGTTCCGATTCCAATGCCGAAGTGGGAGTGGTTTGGAGCAGGAGATCCGCTCTTCCAATAACCCCCAATATATCCGGCTGGGTTTCGCGCCAAGGGTAAATTCTAAACTGTTTTAGTTTCCTATTAATTTTTGGGATTTTTCTAACGTTTGTGGTCATTTGATAAATATTTTGTTTCAAGTTTTTTACTTTTATTTTTCATTTTTTTTTTGAAAACTAATAGATGAAAACTTGTGATTAACGGTTGTACAGACCATACTCTGAAATATCGATAATATCGATGATATTTCAGTTTTTTCGAATCACGGATATTTCGGAACATATCCATGTACATATCGTACAAATATCGACGATAATATCGGAAAATATCGATGTCGATAATTTCGCTCACAGTTCAGCAATATTTTGTCAAAATATCGAAAATATCGATGTAAAGGAAGGAAAAAAAAAAGAAAAAAAAGGGAGGAAAAAAAAACACAAAGGGGATTTGAACCCCTCCCATTTTACTTCTCCAACACCGTAACCACCATATATCACTCATGTTTTAGTGATAATATGCTAAAATATTTATATTTATATGAGTGACATGTTAACAATTACATGCAAAACTATTTTGGGGATTTATCATTTGATGAATACTCTTCACAATAAACTTACTCTACACATAGAGATGATGAAGATAGTGAAAATTTTGAACCTCATATGAATTTTATGTGGTACTAAATCACTCATGTATCTTACCATGCAATGTATAAAGTGTAAAATATTGTAGTAAATCATTATATATAAATGATTATGGTGTGTTTAATCTTTTTTCATTAATTACTACATATTTTCTACACTCACAGTGTTTGCCAGCTCTCTGTATAATCAACTTAAATCAGTTAAATTCATCATGTAATGCATTTCCTTCTAATTTTTTTTATAAACTAATAGATAATTGACTAAATAAACATTCTTCAAAATTTCAATAAAAATTTTCAAGTTTTTCTTACAATTTCCGTGATTTTTATTCAATTTTTATCGATATCGATAATATCCCGATATTTCCATCGAAATTTCCATGTTTTTGGACTACCGATATTTTCGATATCATCGATATTTTATACTATGGTACAGACCCATTAGATTCTTTTATGCAAGATTTAATTGTTGATCTTTGGGATTGTAATATACCATACAAAAAATTAAAAAACTTATTTGATAACTATTCTAAGTGAAACTAAAAATTGAAAACCCAAAATTTGAATACTCAAAATCTAGATATGAAAAAAAATGAAAACGAAATAGTTATCAATTATTATTGGGGTGTGCTATCCACACACCCCATTTTACTTCTCACACATCCCTTGATAATTTAAGTCCGTTGATCTTCTTCAATTCATCCGATCCGAGGGCGGAAAATTAAAAAGGTGTGTGAGAAGTAAAATGGGGTGTGCCATTTTACTTCTCACACACCCCTTGATAATTTATGTCCGTTGATTTTCTTCAATTCATCCGATCCGAGGGTGGAAAATTAAAAAGGTGTGTGAGAAGTAAAATAGGATGTGTGGATATCACACCCCTTATTATTTTGTGTTGTTATTATATTGTTTTTTAAATTTGACAGGGATGATGAAGCAGAGCTTATTGAGCTCATTGTAGAAGATATTTCTAGGAGATTGAGCCATATCTCATCAACGTCAAGCAAAGATAAAGACTTGGTTGGAATGGATTCGCATATGCATGAAATGCTTTTACTATTATATCCTCGTCCTCCTGGGGAGGAATTGGATGATGTTCGCGTTGTTGGAACATGGGGTGGGAGTGGTTTAGGCAAAACAACCATCGCTAGAGCTGTTTATGATAAAATCGCTTGTCAATTTGAAGCTTGTTGCTTTCTTGCAAATGTCAACGAAGATTTCATGAAGCACGGCAAACTACATATGCAGACAGAACTTCTATCTAGTATCTCGAAAAACAAGGTGGGGAGTTCCGACATTTCGAAGGAAGGTTTCCAGGTGATGTTAAATAAACTAGGTCAGAAAAAAGTTCTTATTGTTCTGGATGATGTGGACACATTAGAACAAATTGAAGCTTTACTTGGAGGGCAACATTCCTTTGGTGGTGGAAGTAGAATCATTATAATAACTAGAGATGTGCAATTACTTAGCAGAGCTGATGTACTATATAAGCCCAAGATTTTCAATAATGAAGCTCCGGAATTCTTTAGCCAATATGCCTTCAGAAGAAACCAACCCACCACAAATCATGATGATCTTTCGAGGCGTTTCATACATTATGCTCAAGGTCTACCTTCGAAGCTCCAAGTCTTTGGATCCTCTCTTCGTGGCAAACCTGTAGACAAGTGGGAACAAGCATTAGGAGAAGTAAGGGAAATCCTGCAAAGGGAAAGTCATGATTTACTGGAGCAAATGGACCGGGAATTAGCTCGTCAAGAATCTGGGTTGTACGGTTATGAAGATATTTATCGTGCTCTAAATCAAAATACGGTGAGAAATCTCTGTCTTATGCAATTTTTATTCGAAAGCTTCAACTTTTAGCTCGTTAGATAGCTATTTTAGTTTCCAATTTTTTTAATTTTTAGTTTTTAATTTTTTTAATAATTAAATTGAAAACAATTACCAAACAAGTTATGAAAAATTAACTGAAAACAAAATGATTATCAAACGGCTCCTTAAGAAACCAGCATTAACTTCATAATCTAAACTAATGTTCTCTGATTTGTCCTTTACTCTGGTTTGCATAGGCTACAGAAGCTAATCAAAAGGACCTTTTTTTCTTTCTTCTCCTATATAAATTTTAGAAAACCAATCAAAAGGAACTAATAACACCTAATAAACTTTTACTACTGACGAGAAAAAAAAATTGAGTGGCATTTATGTAACTAACTTGAAGTTTGGATGCAGTAGTGGTATCATAAATACTGTTCTTTTTTTTTTTAACAATCATAAATACTATTTTTCAAGGAAGAAACAGTTGAAAGTATCTTTTAACTTAGTTGGTTATGACCAATCACATTTGCATTGGTTCCCGTGTTTAAAATCTCCTCCCATAGTTTAATGTAGATTATTTTATTATTTGTAAAAATAAAAATAAAAAAAACTAAAGAAACAGTTGACCTAAACAATTAAAAAACAGTTGCCGATATTTATCCTTTCTAAAGTTCAACTTATTTATGAAAAATGTCACATCTTTTATTTTTTTTTTCAAACTTCAACTTATTTACAAACATGTTACTACCTTTGTCGTCTTTTAAGCGTTTTGTTTTTACTTATTTACAAACATATCACATCACGACGTTTTTGTTAATGCTTTTGTCTAGAAATGAAGATGATAAATAGAAAATACACATTAAAGTTCTTATTATTTGTGTAAAAAAATGACACGTGTAATTTGTTAAAGTGAAACTGTTCAAATGCAAAGGTTATTAGCGCTTCTACTAAATATTAGCAAGAACTAATGGGTTTTTGTGTTGATGTCATTCATGTTAATTGTCACCACAAACAGGTAATGCCTCACTTTTTAAGAGCATCGTCAATCATGTTCTTCATTTTTAATTCAAATTTTTAACTAAAAATATTAGAAAAGTTATCTTAGGAGGATGGATTTTTCTGTGTCTTCAACACAAGCTGGTATACTATATGCCACAATATAAGTGGTGAAAGGTTTTTTTTGTCAAGTGCTCTTTCATTTCTATTATTACAAATAGTCTATCGGTCCATATTCAAACCATACTAGTTTGTTTTAGGAAACCCAACAGTCTTGATTTGTTTGACCAAGAAATTGAGGTGCGCATTTGAATTTTAGAAACACCAAGAAATTAAAATACGCAACTTTCAAAACAAAAGAAAACGAACAAAGAAAACAAAGAACTGGCCTAACTTTGATTTATGTTTGAAAGTGATTTTCCGGATGGACTCACGCGTTTAATTCATGGTTTTTGCAGCTAAAAATGCTAGGAGAACAATCTTTCAATGATGCTTAAAGGGCTGGTTGCTGGTGCTAGTAAAAAGATTCTTGAAGTGTTGTTTGTGGTGATATGTTGGAGCTTGAGTATTCTTTTCACCAGTTGGGTGGTTGTTTATGGGGTTTGTTTTGTGTATTATGCTGTTTCAATTTGCTCAATGCGGTTTGTTTTTTATTTTATTTTTGTGGTTTGAGTTGTTGCTGCTTTCTTGCTACATCATTGTCCATAACTTCATACAAACGCAAGCATGTAATAAGTATTTGTGTTTATTTTTTGCTATGACACCATACTCTTTCGGATCCTTTTGCAAAGATGCTTTTAGGTGAATCTCTACCTTTATCGCTCTCTTCTTCTTTATTTTTCTTAATTTGAAGAAATCAAATCTTGGTTTGAATTTAATCCACATCCTGCCCTCATGGGTCTTATTAACATAGTTGAAAATACTAAATTGTCCATGTCATATTAGCACAGTTAACGGCTATTTTTAAATTATTTGACAAAATAGGGTAATGTGGGACACTGAGAAGAGTGTAAGCGTTAAAGTGAGACAATATAAAGTGTAGGGACTAAAATAGAACACAGAGGAAGAATGCATGTGGTAAAGTGAGTCAATATAGCGTGTAAGGGCTAAAGTAGAATTTAGTAAAAAGTATAGGTGCCATAACTCAAAATAAGCTAAAAATTTTTATGTTTTTTTTTTTTAATCAATAACGATGAATTTCATTCCACATCAATAAAGCATTACACATTTGGGATAGATTGACTGGAAAATAAAGCAATGGCAAACAAAGACTTCAAAAACCCCCCATCTGGTATAACAATCTTCCGACTCAGCCTCCAAAATTGCCATTAGCCAAGGAGGAGCCTCCTCAATCCAAGCCATGAATTCCTTACATCTTAACGCAAATTGAGCCACTGAATGTGCCGCCATGTTTGCTGCTCTCGGCTGCCATTGGCACGCAAAGCTTCGAAAGCAATTTTTTAGCAACTTAAATCTCTTCCACTAAATTCCCATCCACTCCTCTATCATCTTCAACGTCCAAAATACTATCCACTGCTTTCTTGCCATCCATTTCTAGAATTACATGGTTGAAACCCAACTCATACGCAAATCGAAGTCCTTCCCTCGTGGCAATCAATTCAACAGCGCGAGGAGAAAGGAAACTCTGCGTTTGTTTTGAACAAGCTGCCATTTAATAGTCCCTTTTCATCTCGAATTACCACCTCAATGCCTTGACCATCCCGGTTCCGTTGCACTGCACCATCAACATTGATCTTCACCACTCCTGTCGTTGGTGGCTGCTGGAGGACCTGAGCTACAACCCCACTATTACTGCCACTAACCGAGGCATTCACCAAGTGAAATTCCTCCAAAAGTTGTGCCTTGCACGTGCAGCAACCTCCCAAGAATGACAATCCTTATTTTCAAATAGCATACCCTTTTGGGTAAATCGCCAAAATGGTCCATGAGATTTGCATAACTCACCACTTTGGGTACTGAGATTCCAAATCGATAAAAGTAGTCCCTGAGATTGTCCACTATCCATCACTTTGGTCATTCCGTTAAAAACTCCGTTAAGTGTCCCGGAGCTCTTGGCCGGAAGTTTGAGCAATTTTCAAAACTTCGTAACTCAATCGTTTCTTAACCAAATTCGACTCATAATATATCAAAATGAAGATAGGAAAGTGTAGCATGAGATTATACCTATTTCAAAGCCTAATGATTGCCAGAGATAGCCAGAAAATAGCCTCAAAATTGACTGGTCCGAGTGAAAACTTGAAAACTCACCGGAAATTGGGTAAACTTTAAACGTTCATAACTTCTTCAATACTTAACGAAATCAAGTGATTTAAAAATAAAAATCATACTCTCGACAAGACGAAGAGAATGATACCTCGAGAGTGGCTAACTCGAGACTAAGATAGTCACTTTTGAGCTATTTTCCGGCCAAAACATGGCGAGTTAGCCGTCAAAAAAGGTACCATTCTCTTTGTTTCATTGAAAAGTATGATTTTTGTTTTTGAATCACTTGATTTTGTTGAGTATTGAAGAAATTATGAACGTTTAAAGTTTACCCAGTTTCCGGCAAGTTTTCAAGTTTTAACTTGGACCAGTCAACTTTGAGGCTATTTTTCGGAAATCTCCAGGAACCATTGGGCTTTGAAATGGTATAATCTTATTTTACACTTTCCTATCTTCATTTTGATATATTATGGGTCGAATTTGGTTAAGAAACTATTGAGTTACGAAGTTTTGAAAATTGCCCAAACTTCCTGCCAAGAGCTTCGGAACACTTAACGGAGTTTTTAATGGAATGACCAAAATGATGGATGATGGACAATCTCGAGACCACTTTTATCGATTTGGAATCTCAGGGACCAAAGTGATGAGTTATGCAAATCTCAAGGACCATTTTGACGATTTACCCTACCCTTTCTATTAATCCAAATTGCCCAACTAACCATCGCGAATAATTCAAGCTCCTCCCTTGTCGAAACCAACACCATAGCTCTCCAAACCTCGAGAAACGACTGAACCTTCCATTCCCTGCTTTGCCTTCCACCAACTAAATTCCTTCCAAATGTCGGCCAACTCCCCACAACCCCATTTCGCACGAATAGTCGTTTCCCCTTTCTGTTTACATCTTCCACACAACGGTGAAAGAGTGGTCTTCTTTTGGAAAAGGTTACAATTGCAAGGAATATTTTCCCATAAACATATCCAGATAAGGTGTTACTTTGTCAGGTATAGACAAAGTCCATACATGTTTCCATAAAGGATCACCAGTTCTACTCGACAAACCTTGCATTCCACTTGAGCAACATCTGATCATTCGTTGCAGGAATTGATCCAACCCAAGCCAAAGAATATGTGTTTCGAGAGTGACGTTGATTGGTTTTAATAATGAATGGTGACATTTCAGAGGCACCAAAGCAGAATTAAACAAGGTGTCTTTTGCAACTAAAAGTACAACAGAGATAGGAAGTAGTTGAAGGGAAATGAAGCGTCAACAAGGGAATTTACATGAGATGTTTGGGTAGTCGGTGAAGAAAGAAAAAATATGTTGGTGGTGCTGGGACATCTTCTCATGCCTGCAAAGATTTCACGATCAACCATGGAAGTCCAAAACGACTGAGTTCATAGCAGGTCCTCTCAAATGGAGAAGACTGTTCATCTGGCGTGAAAAGAAATCTGAGGGATAAGGGTTGGATTCTTGATAGCATCTGGTATTTATACCACATACCCTCAAATCCATGAAAATCCATCACCCATCAAAATCCTATCAAATCCTTGGTAATTTCACTACACCTAGACATCTTCAGACTCATTTAAAATCTTAATCGACTATCCCAAGATTTCGATGTATTCTTTAAAATCCTTTAAAATCCTAATTTGATTACACTCTATTTTCAAAATCTTTTAAAATCATAATTGAATACACCAAAATTTTAAAATCTATTAAAATGCTATCAAATCCTAATTTGACTACACTCTTAGATCATTCACCTAAGATACAGTGACCAAGATCCAACCTTTAAAACCTATATTCTAGACCACTAGTCATCATTAGTTGTCGATCATAAAAGTTTTGAAATTCTCTTAATGTATGTACTAATAATATATTCATCTTTGAGTAATGCATCCCCTACCTTCAGAGCAATTCCACCATTGCTAAGGACCTCCCGGGCTATTCACTATTTAATCCACCTAGTGAACAGTAACTGCCCTTAATGAATAGTAACTGCTTTTTGCATCTCTACCCCTACACTGAATAGCCCTGGCAATAGACAATAAAATATTAATATTTTTTTAAATAATAAAAAATAATTTTATTTGTAATTTTGGATAGGATTTTTAATCGGTCTCGTTGTACCACTTTCTATTAAAAAAAATATTTTTATTTTTTTATTTTTTTTCTTTTCACATGGTGCAACACATCATTCTAAAACCTTTGTTTTTTTTCACATGGTGCCAATGCACCATTCCAAAAACATTTTTTTTTATTGTTATTTTTTCTTCTTTTCACATGGTGTCAACTAGGGGTGGGCAAACGGGTCATGGACCCATGGGTCGGGACGGATCCTTACGGTTTGGGACGGATACTTGGCGAGTCCAAAAATTATAAATGCAAAACGAGGCGGGCCGGGCCGGGCAGGTTCCTGATAAATAACGGGGCGGGCCGGTTGTAAAAGGTAGAGAAAACAGGCCCCCGCCTGGACCGTTCATTCCTACTGACTATTGTTTATTACCCTAGGCTAATTTCGCTCAAGCCTCACCCTCACCCTCACTGTCTCTCTCTCCCGAGTCAAGTCTGAGTCTCCTCCCTCATATCTCGATCTCCTCCCTCTCTCTCTCTCTCCCCCCCCATCTCACCCGCCCTAAACCCAGCTGAACCCCTTTCTTCCTCTCATCTTCTCCAACTTTCACAAAGCATAACCAAGCATATACCCAGGAACCGGCTCAAGATCCACGACATCGAGCTCCGCCTCCCGCGTTGTCCTCCATAGGTACAGTAAAATTACACATACACACACACACACATACACACGTATATCTGTATCTAAATATTTTAATTTAAAATGTTAGCTTTGAATTTATGAAATGATTGTTAGGTTTTATGCGGCAGATGTGAGGGTGGAGAGCTTCGAGGTGCTCGACAAGTGCAAAGTATTGTTCTATATTATCTAGATTAACTAGACTATTTTGGATAGCTACTGGCCTGCTTTCATTAATCAAACACCAATCTGAAGGTAGGGTGATGTCTGACCACCTGATGGTTCTTGGTACTTTAATGTTTGCATTTTCTTGATTAGTTTGAATTAAAAGTGTATGATCTCTCGGACTTTTGGTTAAAGCCTAAAAATTCATGTTTGTGCCAGTGACTTTATAATAGACTCTGTAAATTAGTGTCAAAGGCTGTGTTCCTTCAAGGACTTGATATCCTGAAGTTTTAATATTTAAAGTGAGTGATTTCAGCATGTGGGGATCTGAAAGACTTATGGTGAGATTTGGAAAACAATCAAAATGGATAGGTCCATTGTAGAGACTCGACTTAATCATTCCAAGTATGCTATCACTAAAGTTAATGAATCTAGCATCTTAGAGGCATAATAAAATAGAGGTATTAAGACCCTTTCGAGTTAAAGGTTTTACGGCTATTTGAACTAAGCCAATGTGAATGTAGTTATGACCATCTTTCCTATGGGATTTGATTTGTTCTGGAGAAAACAATTGACAAGTTTCATGTTCTTTACTAAGAGCATAAGCATTTTCAACTGTCTTGACATGTTCACTCCTAAATGAGGTTACTGACCATTTCTTTTTA